TACTGATGATCCATGTAGTACTATAGGTGTGTGTATAGGTGTGTGTGTGTGTGTGTGTGTGTGTGTGTGTGTGTGTGTGTGTGTGTGTTTTTGTAAGAGAAGAGCGATCTAAAAGTCAAAATTTTTCAGTTTCACTCAAATGCCGAATCTGAGTAAAACTTTTCACTATGGTAAAGATAGAAGACACTTTTCTTTTCTTTTTTTACTGTTAACCTTATATAACTTTCTTGATACTTTGTGGCTCAGTTCTTGCTTTACACACTCGCTGTCACTTAAAAAAAACTTTTTTTCCCTCTCATTTCAACGATTTTTTCCCTTTTGAATATAGCTCATTATTTCTGTTATTGTATGTGCCTGAAAACATACGCTTGATTACCTCTGTGTGTGCTCATATGGGAGACAGAGTGCGTCTGAGAGATATAGCTGTTTGTTGTACATGTACTATAAAGCTGTATGTAAATACTTTACCTCACGCTCATGGACTTTTGATAAAAACCTGTACAAAACAACAGCAGAGAGTACATCTATTTGGGATAAATCTTTCATTCTGAGATCCCCAATGCAGAACTGCTTTTTGTAATGACTTCAGGCCAGGATACGTGCAGTCATTTATTATCACACAGATAGTGCACACATTTAACGAGTGTTGCGTTTTGGGGTTTTTTTTGTTGTTTTTTGACCAGTTAAGAAGGCTGTTTTTTTTTTTCTCACGAGGGGAGATCGTAAACCACCGCCAATAATTGCTACCCAGAAAGCACAATAGATTATCTATTGCATTTTTACAGAGGTGTGGTCTCTTTTTTTGTCCCTCTTTAGCTAAATCTTCTGTTATGCTGTGTTTGGTCACAGAGGAGATCGAACAAATCTATTCCCGAGCTGTACAGATTGTGAAAAATGTACATATGTCAAAAAAATCTAGTTCATCCTTGCATTTTTTTTGTATGGAGAGAAATTACTTGTGTGCAGAGAGTATTTCAAATTTGATTGAATATTTAGTAATATTGAAAAATGAGATTAAACACAGTCAATGTGAAAATAAGTGCTGAGAAATATTATTCTTCTGTCTCTTTGGAATAAAAGTGTTAAGTATTAATAAAAAATAAGAAATTTCAGCTGGTTGGTCTTTTCTTTTTCTCCTGCAGTTTATGTGCCTGTCTGTAGGTTGACCGTGATGTCACATGAAGGGATCACATTGCTGTGTCCATGTGCGGTCCTGTGACATTATGGCTGCTGCAGAATGCCATCTTTTTTGCTCTTTCATTGCATCTTTTGCTTGTCATTCTCTGTTTTCCAGTGGGAAGAAAAAAACCACAAAGAGGCATGAGAGAGGCAGAGGAGATAAGGAGAACAAAAAATAATGGGAGATATATTGAGGGAAAGGAGAAGTGATGCAAACTGAACCGAGCAGCAGAGATCAAAGCCCCCAAAAACCTCTCTCTCCCCCTCCCCTTACTCTTCAGACTCTCTCTTTACTCTTGTCCAGCAACAGGAGTTATTTAAAGAAACCAGCCGGTTTGAAAATGTACCGATGCCTTGCCTACAGATTTGGAGGGAAGGTTTTTTTTAACAGCTGCAGTCCTGGATGGTTGAACAGAACAAGGTGAGGCATAGGTAGAAATAACCTTTTCATAAGTTAATCAGCTTCTGAAAAAAAAAAAGAAAAACATCAGCCTTTTTTTTTTTGCTTACTTCTTCGATCCCTCCATCAACCCAACAACCCCAGGATGCATTGCAACACATGTAACTACTTCTTGACAATTAACTGTTACCTAGCAACTGGCTCTTTTTGCTGAGACGGGGAGGGGTGTAGAAAGAGAGACGGGGAGGGAGATTTATACAGTATTCCCACGGCATCTTAACTGGATTGGATGCAACAATGCATTGACAATACAGTACCAAAATGGAAAGTACAGCCTGAGCTGAACGCCCACACGTAGCAGCGAAGAGGGAAGGGGGCGTGCAGGGAGAGGAGGGGGGGAAAGAGAGGTGTGGTGGTTTGATATACAGTATGGGGGTGGGGGGATCACTGGTGGAAGATTTAAAAAAAAAGGAAGGAATTAGCGTGCAGCTGCAAGTTGAAAGTGAGAAAAAAGGGAGAGAATGGACACGCCACCCTGCAGTATGAGATGAGGATGATAAGTGAAGTTGTAGAAGAGGAGTAGGGAGAAGCTGGTTGCTGTAGAAACACTTGGCAAAGTTTTAATGAAGGCATAAAGTTGGCTGTCTGCACTCACGACGCACACACACGATCACCATACGCAAACAAACATTATAATTATGTTAGAAAATAATAGGCAGCCCCTGCTGGGCCCACGAGGGTCGTTCCTGGACTTCAGCTGAAATAAATAAATAAATGAAGATCAGCCTCCGTGAATCGGTGTAAAGCCGCGTGTGATTACGGCGGCAGACGAGCACTGACACCCTGTGGCAAAAACAGGCCATCCGCCTTGTTGGGACACGCACAGGTACCAGGAGAACAGCCTTCGTCTGCAGTGTTGCAGACGTCCACGCCTCTCACCGTCAGCCCTATGTGTGCGGTTAGGTGTCTGCCTTTCAAAGGTTATTTGTGTAATAAATATAGGCTTGAATATTAAATCAAGTAACGCACACTTAATGTTTCCATGAATAAAATTAGTTGCGCTGTGGACTTATTTTAAGGGTGTATTTTTTCCTGTTTTGGGCATTTAAAAAAAAAACTTAGCCAAATTATCTACAAACCTCCATTTTTATTATGTCCTCTGCAGGCAGGACTCACGGTGAGTTACTCTGGTCTAGAAGAAAGACGGAAACCCCGACGATTTTCATGCTTCTGTTCGATTTCTTACATAAAATCATTATGTAATTATTCTGCTTGTTCCTCCTCACATAAGAACTCCTCGCTCTCCCTGAAATCATTTGTCCATGCCTAGTTACAGATATGTGGGAAAAATAATGTGTCCTTATCCTTTAGATGCTACACCCGACTGTGAACTTCAAGGACTTGTGCTGTCTGCATGTAGACTATCGCTGTGTTGGTTATCATGATAAGCACCTTTATTTCAGTCAAATCAAATAGAGACCCTCTCTTTTTAAAGTGCGAGAGACTTTAAAAAAAAGTGGGGTGTGAACTTCTTTCGACTTCCTTAAGTGGGGGCATGCCAGAGAAAGGTTTGACAATAACCTAATGAAACAAGTCTTTCTTCTTCTTGTTTTACGCGCACACCATCCTTGCATTTTGCGCGCTGTAATATATTATATTCAATCCAATAAGGAGGTGGCGTGGGAGTATTGCTTCGTTTGGGGGGGTTGGAATGCTCTTTAATAAAAACAATAGGAATCACGTGGCTTAAAAGTGATGTAATGGTTATTTTATTTCTAGACATTGTGCTACTCGTTAGGCATGATTTCTAACCTTTCTATAAATAGCCCTTTGAAAGTGAACCTTAAATAAACATAAAACAGCCACTAACAACAAGAAGATAATTTAGTGCAAAGTTGTTGGCTGATGTATTCGGTTTTGTTTAGTGATCAGTTTCTTTAGCTCTCAACCGTCCTTGATAGCGGACAGCTTTTTGGATTATCCCGTCACATTATTTCTGTATCTAATCAATCTACACGGATTAGATACAGAGCGGCTAAAGTAGCAGAGAGCTTCTGGAACAGCAATTAGGTTTGTGTAAGGTTGTTTCCCAAGTTGAGGTGATCCATAAAATAAAAGAAGAGAGAATGAGAAGTGGAACTGATGAGGCAAAAACCGCAATGAAATGGTGATAACAGTTTATTAAAGAATTTTAGTCTCTCACTAATAAAAATCAGAGGTTATATTGCATATGTAGAAACTTTACACTGTTTATAAAGGGATTTATAATTCGTTTCGGTAAACCCAACAAAGCCTCCAACTTTTTCCCTCTTTCCGTCGCACGCCCCCGCCCCCAACTCTGTCCATCCATCTATGTGTCACTCTTGACCAGCTTCACTCCCCTATTCTTCAGGACTCTCACCCGCCTCCTCCTCACCACCCTGCTCCCTCTGGGCGGGCTCACGCTCACTGCGCTCCTCGGGGTGTATCGGGCCAGACTCGCCACCTTCCCTTTCAGGCTGTGAGCCCGCCTGCCTTCCGCCTCCTCCTCCTCCTCCTCCCCATCCTCCCCCTGGTAGCCGTAGCGACGGAGAAATGGTTCCAGCGTTGCTAGGCGATGAGAGAGCTCGGCGATGCGTCGGTGCAGCAGAGAGACTTCCCTGAAGAGGTCGTTGACAGACTCGGACAGAGGGCGCACCCTGCAGGAGGAACAGAGGACGGTTAACTTCAGAGGACCGCTCACACATATGGAGCGCTGTATGAAATTAATTATGACTGTGGATAAAGTCTTGAAAGACTTGATCCAAAGCAATCTGTGTGGTTACAGGAGACAAAGGAGGCAAAGACAGGCTGAGAGTAAGAAATGCTCCTGTTCGTCTTCAAATTGGATTGGTTTACTCTCTCGTGACTTTTGATGCTCCCAAAATACATTTGTGGCAGTTCATTCATATCTCACTTTAGAATAAAAACTTGCTCTTTTTTTCAGTTCAGCTAAAGTTTAATTTAAGTAATCCAGTTCATAAAATGGTGAGTATATACATAATGCACTGGTGGAAACTTTCTGGGCATATCTTGCTATTGCCTGGTCCATATTGACATGATAGCATTAGACAGCTGCTGCAGATTTCTTGGATTGAGATCTGGTGACTTTGGAGGCCATTTGAACACAATGAACTCAGTGTCAAGAAACCAGTTTGATATGATGTCGGCTTTATGACATGGTGTGTTATGCTGCTGGAAGCAGCATCAGAGGATTGGTACACTGTGGTCATGAAGGGATGGACACGGTTAGCAACAATACTGTCGTGTAAAACAATGCTCAGTTGGTACTAAGGGGCCCAAAGTGTGCCAAATACAGTTACACCATTAGACCACCAGCAGCTACAGCCCCAAACCATTGATACACGGTAGGATGGATTCACGCTTTCATGCTTTCATGATCCTGCCATTGAAATTTCACAGCAGAAGTTGAGACTCAAGCAATGCAAATATTAGCCTTAATTTTACCTCAACTTCTTAGCTGACAGATATGGTCTTCTGCTGAGTTCAAAAGATGCTCTTTTGCATATACTTTGGTTGTTACAAGTGTTTATTTGAGCCACTGTTGCATTCCTATCAGCTCAAAGCAGTCTGGCCATTCTCCTCTGATCCCTGGCCTCAACAGGACATTTCCATCCAGAAAAATGCTACTCACTGGATATTTGTTCTTTTGTGCACCATTCTCTGTAAACCCTGGAGATGGCTGTGTGGGGAAAAATCCCAGTAGATCAGCAGTTTCTGAAACACTCAGACCAGCCATTTGGCATCAATAACCGTGCTTTTAAAGTCACTTAAATCACCTTTCTTCCTCATTTTGATGCTTGATTTGAACTTTATCAGGCCACCTCGACCATGTCTACGTCCCTAAATGCACAGACTTGATTGTCTAGTTAGAGGTTTGCATTAACAAGCAGTCAACAAGCAGGGCATTGGTGTACCCTACAAAGTAATGGGAAATGCGTTCACATGGTCATAATAAAATATGAAATCTCCCAGGCTGACTAAAACAAGCCTCAATAAAAATAAAAAAACACAGAGTGAACTCTTCTTGCCAACAAACAATGCTGAAGAAATAAACATTTGCCTTAAAAGCAGATACTGTTAAACAGTAGTCATCTAATCACATAAAAGCGACTCTTTTGTCTAATCCTCAGAAACGGAGTAAACAAACCTCAGGCTGATTAGACATCATGATGATGGGTGATAAAGGTTAGGCCCACCTGGAGTAGTCGGGCAGCAGCGTGCTGGGCTGTGAGTGCAGCAGAGTTTTGATCTCACTGAAGATGCGTTTTCCCCAGGCATCTAAAACTCTGGTCACACTGCGCACTGAGGCCACATTCACGCTCTCAGCTGAAAGCGAAGCGTGACACCATCAGGCTTCAATTTATGGAACAACAAAACATCCTGTATGAATCATGAAAATGAAGAAAGCGTGTGCTTTAATTGTTCAAGAACTGTTTCTCTGAAGTGTCTCGGATTGCTGCGTTTCATTCAGCTGCCATAGCTCACGGCTTCAAACGCACAGTGATTTACGGGCTCCGTATCTCCAAACAGAATAGATCAAACACAGGCTTGTGATTTATACCTCCCTCTCTGTAGTTCCAGTACCCGTAATCCACTTCATTCTCCTCCTCGGCTGCATAGGCCCCAGTTGCTGTGGCAACCACCATCAGCGCCATCAACAGAGAGTGAGGGCCCATGTCGAGAAGATACACGCTCCCCCTTATAAAAGATGAAGAAGAAGAGAACAAATGTGCCTGTGTCAAAGTTATTTTTCAAACCAACCTTTTTCCCCCTCCTTGTTTTTAAAGCAGAAAAAAAAATGTGTTTACATCGCCGACAAAGATGTGTGGAAATCAAAGGCACTTCATGTGCCACTAATTAGTGAAAAGGCGAGCATTTTTTTGTGTGTGTGTGTTTTGCCAGTACGATGTGCAACTTTGCTACTGTTTTTGCTTTATTATATTTTACTTTATTGTCTCAGTTAGGACAATTTCTTGGAATCTGCCCGTGCTAAGACTAATCACTGCTTAAAAAATGGAAAAGTGATCAAAGAAAATTTGTTGATAAAGATAGACGTAGCTTCTGAGTACAAAAAGTAAACCAAAACAAAAGTGTCTTAAACATCACTTCTTTCTAATGGCCAGCAGGAGGCGCCTCCTCTGTTTGGAAATCATAGTTTTGTATAGAAATCTTTGACAAAATAAACAGACTACTCCCGCTTGTTTAAAACTGCCCTTACTAACCATAATCTAAGCTATTTTAGGTAAATTATGTCCCCGTTCAGCTTCTCTGTTTCTCTGTGAAATGATCTGTCCTGTTTGAAAACAGTAAAAACAGTACAATGCTCAGCTTCAGGCATAGTGGGACTTCGCCAGCTACTGGGCTGACTTTGCAGTGGCTATGTGCATCTTTCATATACAGTCTTTGGGTCAATTGGCACACGTGTGCCAGTAATAACTGTTACTGTCTTAGTAAATAAAAGACATCTTTCACTTAAACTGTAAGAAATAAATGTGTATAATTATGAAAAAAGTTAGCTCATTGTAATTATTCTGTAACCCTCCTATAATAATTTTGAAGCAAAATGTTTATGTTAATTCACAGAAAATGAAATTAAAAAAAAAAAAATATTTATTTTACTTTTTACTTTGGAGGCATACTGATGAAAAAACAAATAATAAATAAATATACAAATAAATGAATAAATAAATTACTATATGCAATAGTGAAAAAACAGGAACAATTCTGTCACTTGATTGTTTATCTATTACTTCATTCCTTTGTTAGAGTATGAATCGTGGTGGGGAAGGTCTTTATCAGTAGGAAAAGCTGTATAATATAAAATACAGTCCAAAATTATGCCTGTCTTCATATATTCCAAAGCTTTCCAGTGGACCAGCTTGGAGTCTTTCCCAGGACAATTTTGGCCCCTGGGCCTCCTGTTTGACATCCCCGGTATAGAGTTTACCAAAAAGCCTTAGAACCTGGTACTTTATTACCAAAAAATACAAAAATGTTTGTGAGTATGACTGATAGCTCAAAGCATAAATGCAATGTGACTTCACTTCTTGTCTGGCAGCTTTATCTCCAGCCTTTTTCATAAAATCAAACTATGGATGTTTCGACCACAGCTTGATCCGATGAGTCCAACAGCACCTTATTTTTCATAACTGAGTAAATGGTTAAAAAGATCACTGGTGGGGTTAGAAAGCTGGAGACTTGTGTAATACTCCCAGTCACTGTGGCAGATCCAGGATCCACAGAGGGAAAAAGAAGATGTGTAAAAACACTTGTACGTCTCTGCTTTCCCTCCAATAAAACCCCACTGATGACAACACAGCTACTTGATAATGGGGCAGGATGCGAACCAAAAAAATCTTGTTCCCTGTCGAACTGAAGGGATGAAGAAAACAGGCTTTTTCCAGTTGGACCTGTCTGTGTGTGTGGAGAGAGCAACAGCAGTTCAGTTAGGAAAAAGAAAAGGAAGGCAAGTTTTTGATTTTTAGAGTCCAGTTTTAATGGGGAAGAAAAGAGAAATGCTAAAGGCAGGCGACCCAGAAAACCAACCAAGCAAAGGGAAAAGCAAAACATCAGCACTGCATCCATATGACAGATCTGTGAATCATACTGGACAGTAATAAGTCGATGACTCACTGCTGAGGTATTGTAAATGTTCTCAGGAGGTCTGAATTTGGAGGCTGATCAAAGGAGGAGTGAAAATTAACCGCACAACAGCACCACGCAAACCAGCCGTCACCTGTTATGATCATGGTTTGTGGCTGTGCTGGAACAAAAACACTTTGCAACTTTGCAAACTAATGCCGCAGCGGCAGAAGTATCACAAGCTGGGAGCTGTTTCGGAAAAATAAGCAAATGAGCCGATACTCACGACTTGAAATGATGATGATGCTTTTAAGACTCAGCAGGAAGTCCTTCTCCCTCTCCCATGCGGTTTGAATACCAGATGTCTCTGCTCCTCTCGCCTCTCCACCCTGTCGCTGCCACGGTCCCTCTACTTACTTCTTCTCCCTTCTCTCCTGTTTTCTCCGACGCTCTCTCCACCCTCTTCTCCCAGCTTTGGGATAATTAAGAGAAGAGTGTGCGGCAGGTCCGGTACAGAGCTCTTTTTAAAACAAGTTTAGGGTTTGGGAGCTGTGCTAGCTTTTAGACCCCAACACACGCCCACCTCCAACTCTCTCTCTCCCTCTCATGCATATCACATGCAGACAAATTCTGCAATCCAGCTGCTGCCAGATGTGTGGCACATCCTCTTCTCTGAGATGTGATTTACCCCGTACTCCTTCTGTCTCATCTTCAGCGTGGGTATATGTATATTTGAGACTGTAATCTCACTCTGCTGGAGGATCACATCTCTGCACCGTGGTCTCCTTAAAAATGTTACAAATCCTTTTTATCTGACCGTTTAACACCTTCTGCCCTCCACACAGCGATATTCAACTATAAGAAGCAACTGCTGCTAGTATTTATGTCAGAAACAGAGAAACAAGAGAAACATCTTTTACTTTTCTAGTAAACTTTAATAGAAAACCTGCATGTTTACTCTACACTGTATTGTAGACCCACTTACTCTGTAAATTAAGAATAAATATACAAAATATAATGCATTTTTAGAGGTTAAACCAACTAACAATATATACATAACATGCATTAGTTTGTTTTCTTTATTTAATATGTTGAAGAATATTTTCTCTGTAATTTGTTTGATGTTCATCCTCCAGCGTCTCTAAAATCCTCTTACAGTCATAATAATAAAATATGTACATTGTGAACAAATAGAAGCTGTTATCTGCATGCTAAAAGCACAAATGAAAAATAATTGTGGAAAATGTTGCAGTAAGTTAAACTGAAGTCATTTTGACTTCCTCTATGTAATCTGATTAAGTGCAGGAAAGTATTCAAGTTCTGTAACACGTAACGTTAAGTATAGATAAATCCATTTAAAGCGAGCATAAAGTATAAGCATAAAATATACTCCAATACGTTTACTAATACTGTGCTCATAAATAATTTTCCCTTAAACTTTGAGATAAAGATTCAAATGATTTAACATTAACAAGTAAATAAGGACTTAGAATTGTTGTTTAATCACCCATTAAGGTTTTTAGACATGATCCGAAGAGCCTGCTGAAGTTCACACTGAGCATTGGAATGGGGAAGAAAAGCGAACTAAATAATTTTATTTCATATTTCAGAAACTCCATGTAGATTTCTGCTGCAGCAAACAGATAGTTCGGGCAGAATTTGGTGGAAACAACATGAAAGCATGGATCCCTGTGTAAACATTTCACACTGGTGGTGTTGTCATGGTATGAAGAACATTTATCTGAGTGGTGGCTACCACAGCCTACCTGAGTGTTGTTGCTCATCATGTCCATGTCTTTATGACCACAGTGTACCCAGCTTCTGATGCCTGCTTCCAGTAGGATAATGCACCAGTTCACAAAGTGCAAATCATCTCAACTTGGTTTCTTGAACATGACATCAAGTTCACTTTACCCAAACGGCCTCTACAAAATACAGTAGTAGTTGCAGTAAATCAAAACTTGAACATCTTCCTTATATAATATTACAGAGCAGAAGGCTAATGTACGTCAAAAGGGAAACACCAGCTAAGTAAAGTTCCTCAGCAAAGCCTAGTAGTTCATTAAACCTTTGTTTCAGCACTGGAAACTTTTAAACTCAGGGGATGTTAGGAGTCCAATCCAGTATATTAAAGGCACATAACCTCATTTCTCAGTGCACCGATTAAAGCTAAAAAGGCAATACAGTGACTCCAGTTCAACTGGTTCAGAATTCCAGTGAGGCACTTGTTTGCATGTCAGATTTAAAAGGACCTCTTAGGTTAAGTGCCCTTTTGTGCTGTGCTCCTGTAAACCTGACTATCTGTGGCTTTACTGTATACTTCACTCCCCAGGAAGGAGGAGAGATAAGAAGTGCATTATAGTGGGTATGAAATGGAAAGAGTTATTTCTCAGTGACTGGCATCCAGATGTTATTCCCCCTCTCTATGTCTGTTTTCATGCTGTGGGCTGAGGTGAGGTCAGAGTTGGACGGTAATCTCTCCAGAAAGGAAACGCTGAAAAAGTCAGGTGGACGGGTGGAGAGAAGAAGGAGGGCGTAGGAACAAAAAAGACAAATGGAGTTAAATAACAATAACTGCCACACTTTAACATCTGCACATCTCCATTGGCAGCTTCAGAGAGAGCGAATCAGCAGAGAGTTACTGCCGTGAAGAAGTCACACAACCCGCAACAGCTGGTTCACATTAACAAAAGGCAATTTGTCACCTTCAGCTAAATTCCAGCCATGCACACACGCACACACACACACACACACACACACACACACTTATTTCCGCTCCCTGCTCGAGTCTTCTCTTTCTGCTGTTGTCTGAAAACCACATGACGAGGTGCGCACTCGTGGCTCACTCTGTTACTTCGCCAACACTGTCTCACTGTGGACGAAAGCCAAAACTGCAGTTTGCTTCTCATCCAGACGCTGACGTAACAGCAAACTGCAACCAGGAGAAGTCTTTCTTTGGACAAAACAAAAACTTTTAGAGTTGCCTGTGAAAAGTCTTTAACCTTTAGTGTTTTTAGACTTTAATATTGTCTGCCATGTCCTAGACTAACATGTAAAATGCTGTTTTTGCTTGTTCCCTTTAGAGTGCGTCAGTGTCCATCAAACATTTTGGGGAAGTGTTTTTTTGCAGAAAGAGGAACTTCAACAGTCTATAGAGTCACAAAACATTGTCATCGAAAAAGAATACAGACACTTTTATCAAACTATCCAATCGCACCATGGAATCTCAACCGTTTTGGACCCTTTTCTTCAAGTTGACATGGATACCTGCATTTTTCCTTCTCACTGTCTGTTCAGCAATGGATTCACCAAGTGAGCCACCACATTTGTGTTGTGACTGATATTTATTTGACTGGGATGAGTGTTTTCTGTTGCTTACGTGTGCGACTAACCCTGTAGTCTAGAAATAGATCGGAGAATAAATGAACTGCAGCAAATTTATTTCGTGTCCAGCGCTGAGTCATTTCAGCCCTAATGTGAACCTCTAACATGTCTTTTCACAGGTATCAGTCTGGAGCGTGAAGTCTTTGTGGCCTTTAGAGGTGAAAATCTCAACATTACATGCAATTTGATCAAAGCAGTAAACCAAACGGAAGATGGCTGCTTGACATGCTTTGATCCAAAAAACAAAACAATATACAATAATACCATCCCCACAATGGATACCGAACAGGAAAGATTTTCCTGGCATCTGGAGCTGAAAAACCTGAAGCTTTCAGGACTTTACTCCTGCCAGTATCAAACGGTGAAGGTGGATTGGTTTCTTCGAGTGACAGGTTAGTCCAAAAGAAAGAAAATGAAGATGAAAGCTCCAACTATAAGACATCTTTATCACAGTTACTCAGCAGTAAAGTATTCTAAGGAAGGAAGACCTGCCTTAAGAAACAGATTCACTGCATTTTTTCAGATTTCTTTTTTTTAAAGAGTAAATGTGTTTAAAAGGCTCTCTGTTAAAGACATGCAGGACATGAAGATAACTGTTTGTAATCATACAATGAGTGTAACTTCTCAACTTTCCCTTCTTATTCCTTCTTTTTAAATCTTCCTCTTTCTTCAAATGAAGCAGCGTCCATCTGTGATCCTGTCACAGATGAGCACGATAATTTCAAAAGAAAGCTACTGCAGTGGCAGGGCAGTTAAAACATGTTTTGAAAATAAGATTAAGATGCTTCAATCAGGGCTGCTTTGATACATATTATTAGTGTCGAGGAGGTTGGTGGGGTCAGTGGCTGAACTACGATGATACCTTGCTGCTATTGAACAACACTAAAAATAAGGAGTTTTTATAGTTGCATCCTTTACAAATACAAGCAATAATCAAAATAAGTTGTAACACAGCTTTAAGGTGAATTAATTAAGAATAGGCTTTCAAATCCTTACAGTCCCACAAAGGGGGATCATATACAGTTTGCTATGTTCCACTGGTTCTTGAAGGGCATGCGTACTGATGAAAAAGTATTGCGTAGTTCATACAGAAAAGAATAAATAAACAGCATTCTGTGTAATAAAAACAACATTTTTTCTCTCTTATCCTTCCAGTAGCTTTGCTATCCCTGAGATCTATCTTCCGACCCTTTGAAAGGTCCTGAATCTTCTTTTGGAAACCCTTGTACGTCTTGAGAAATTAGCCAGAACAGACGCCAAAGGCCATTTGATCTGCATGTTATCCAGTTGTGATGAAGTCCACCACAGGGTGACATAATTTTTTTTTAATGTATTTATTTTTTTGTCTTTGTGGTTTTTCCAGATGAAGGCTACAAGGAACCTGTTAACACAGAGTTCATCATCATGGCCATTTTCACGGGTGTGCTGTTGATCTTCAGTGTGCTCGGCTCAGTGTATGTCTTCAGAGGACATTGGGTAAGACTGATCCTGCTGTTAAGCAGGCAATAGTTAAGAAACAGCAGGTTACAACACACCAGAGTTGTGTCACAGCTTAATGAGGGATATTTTGACAAATTTTTAACTGTATCCAGGCTTGCTCAGTTCTACAAACAAAGGTATTTAACCTCAGTGGGATGGTTGTCCCCTTTGGACGTGGTCCTGAGGGTCACTGACCCACTATTAATCACATGAGTAATCACACAACCCGAGGCATGCTCTCTAGATTAAGTTATAAGTTGGAATTTAAAATGCCCCAGTGAGAATTTTCATCTGAAACTGATTATATGATTTAATCCTGATTATACTTAAGTTTAATAAGTGTGAACAATTATACTGCCAATAACAAACAGCTGTCCAACATCAGGCAGTGTCATCTCAGTCTCAATCACAAAACCCAAATCAGACTAATGGAAATAGTCACATGCCACCAGTTTTGTCATGTCTTTATTGCCTCATAAACTGCACTGGGACTGCTGTTACTGAACTACTGAATTATAATCATTTACACACTGATTTGAGCCAAAGAAAACCTAATACTCTGATTTGCAACATGCTCAATTTCTTCATCTTATCAGTGGCTGTGCTTCTTTTGTAGTCCCAGTGGACTTGAGCTCTTATACAGGAAGTGCATTGAATGCGAAAATGAAGTTAGCGCCATAAACTCTGAATACAAACACAAGACAAAAAACTAGAAAGGGAGCAGCTGTGAAGAAAGCCTCGTGTTTTACTCGTTTGTATGTTGCACACCTGTGATTGTTTTTTGGTTGTTTTTTTTTTTTGATGAATCCAACTCCATCTTTAGACTGAGAAACATGGAGCTGGCGAGAAAAAACAAAAGCAAAGCCAAGAAGAGAAGAAGGTGACAAAGAAGGAGGACGATAGCTTGGATGCAACAGCAGCTCAGTCCTACTATGCCGTGAGCACCTCTCTCCTCATCAGTGTCTTTCACCTGAACTTCCTTACATTCATGTGGTCATTTCCAACATTTATTTGGACACTGACATGAAGATCTCTTTCAGAGTCTAGAGCCTCGTCCCAGGTCTATTTATGATGTACTGGACAGCTCACCTGCCAGAAGAGAGAATGACCAAGACAAAGCCAAACCCAAGAAAAAGGAACCACCCAAAAAGGTCAGCGAACTTTGAGTGTCTTTTCAAAATAACGTGGTGTCAAAATAAAACGTGTAAATGTTGACCTGCCTTTCATTTTACCTCCACAGGCAGCGCAAAAGACAAAAGACAAGGATGAAGGTGTTTTTGAGTCTGTTTATGAGAACTTTTAGATCAACTCGTGATTGTGGGATCATAATCCAACGCATTTCTACTTTAATCTCATCTGTGTCAGCGACACTGAGAGAATCATCTTTCAATAAAATCAACAAAAACCACAAATGCAAAGTAAAAGTAGTTTGGTACAACACAAAGATTTCTAAAAGTGTGTAAAAAATGTAAATGAACAGAAGCATTCCCATCAGAATGAGCACAGTCTATCAAAAGTACTAAAGGTTTTCACTAAATACTACGACTGTACTATGTAAAAGTCTTTAGCTACACCTCATTTCTTTAGATTTTGTGCACCAATTTATTCAAACAGCCAAGGCAAAAAGAGAGTTTGAACAGTTCTAATGAGCTTAAAAGTCGGTATTCAGTATGAGCACCTATATTTTCCACCAAAGCCTGAAATTTCTTGCTCAACTTTCTTGTCATTTCTTTAAGTAGTCTTTAGGAATAGTTCTCCAGGAATCTTGATGGATGTTCAATGCTCTTCTTTGGATGTTGACTGGGTTTGCTCCATTTTCTGTTAAAATGATTCCACACCGCTTCAATAATGTTGGTGTGGGAATAAAGTCTGGTCTCTGGGGAGATCAATTCCATAACTGACAGTGTGTGTGCGTGTGTGTGTTGTTGTAGTTGTTTTTAAATATTATTATTGCTGGTTTTCCTTTAGTTCAGTTAGTTTGGGATCACTTTCATGCTCAAAAATGGAGTAGCTAACAATCAGATGCCAAATGGTTTTGCGTGAAAGATCAAAATCCTGTGTTTATAGTTTCATTCATTTTTGACCCCCAGTTGAACGGCAGCCCCAAACCATGACAGAGCCTCTGCCGTGTTATACACATGACTGCACATACTCTCTGTTGCACTTCTCTCCTAAGCTCCTCTGTACTGATGATGATTTGAACCAAAAATTTCCAATTTGGATTCATCACTCCATAAGACCTGTGGCCACTGATTTTCAGTCCAGTTCTTGTTTAATTTTGCACACCAGAGCCTTTTCTCCCCTTTTCCATTCATTAACAATGCTGTTTAACAGCCACCTTCCACTGAAACCATTTCTGATGAGGCTTCAGTGAAAAGTACATGGATCAACTGAAGGGTCAGATGTATCTCCACTTTTTTTCCAAGTGGAGTCTAGTGTTTGATGTCTTATTCTCACCTTAGAAACTGTGGGTAACAGGTAGCTGATTTTCAATAAATGTGTCTCTTGTCACCTGCTTCTGTCCGGAGCTGTGGCCTTTCTACTCATTTGCAGTGTTGCCAACTCCACAGTAAGGAAAATCGCTATTGGCTGTCCTAGAAGTCGCTAGAAGTCGCTAAATGACATCATCACCAATTAGCATAATTGGTCATGCTAATCTAATTGTAACCTATGTTGTTGGAGAGAGAAATAACATCATGGAAGAGACATAAAGTGAGTAAAAAACGTCCTAAATGCATTTAGAGTTTATTTAGAACTACAAATTAAATTTCTTTTAGCATATTGTTTTTTTTAATGTCACAATTCCAACCCTGCTCCTTTACCCGGGCTTGGACCGGCAAAAGTGACCCGAAATAGGCACTCTGGTGGAGTTACTTGTGTGTGTGTGTTTATAAGTAGTTTTAAACCTTGTGATCCACAAAACAGCATAAGAGTAAAAGAGTAAAAGAAGAACTGACTGCGTTACAGCACCCGCTGCTTGTTGAGAGTAAAAGCGATACGCGCTTTCACGTCTTTTTTTAGGGGTCTGAAAACTCGCTAAATATAGCGACAAAGGCTACGTTCACACTGCAGGCGAAAGCGCATCAAATCCGATTTTTTTGACCCTATGCGACCCATATCCGATCATGGTATGACAGTGTGAACGGCACAAATCCGATATTTTCAAATCCAGATCTGGGTCACTTTCGTATGTGGTACTGAATCCGATACATATCCGATGTTTCAGAAAGCGACTGCTGTGTGAACGGTCAAGTCGCATTAAATCCATCTTTTACGTCACTGACACAAGACAGACGCATCAAAGGAGCTTGCAAAGAAAAGCGTCTGGACTTCTTTAAGTTGCTTGAAGACGTTTCACCTCTCATCCGAGAAGCTTCTTCAGTTCTAAGGTCAAATGGTGGAGGAGTCCCAGATATAAACCTAGGGGAGTTATCCCCCCAAGAGGGACAAAAGGACCCCCTGATGATCCTCTAATCCCTGAGCCAAGGTGTGAAATTGGGTGCGGGCCCCAATCAGCCAGAGTTTCGGTGTGAGTCATTGTGAAACCTGGCCCACCTTTCATGCGAATTCCTGAGGTCAGATGGCCCAGGATGTGAGTGGGCGTTAAGGCGTCTGGGAAGGGATCTCAAAACTGGATTATAGATGGCAGAGAGTTGGTGTCGTAAACCCCGCCTCTGTTCAAAGATGGTCGCTCACAGTGGACATAGATGCTTCTTTCACTCCTCTTTCAAACCATCTGTCCTCTCTGTCCAAAATGTGAACATTGGCATCCTCAAGAGTCTGACCTTTTCCTGTAGAGTAGCTAAGATGCTGAGTCTGCAATCCTGTGATGGACAATCTCTTTTCCACAACTGAACAGCCTATCTGACAGATATGTAGACGACACCGGGGCTCAAAATCAAGACACAAGAATGAATCCTTCACTCGCACATTAACCTGTGGAAAAAACATCAAAGTTCACCAGGGAAGACAAAAGGACAACTGTTGGCCTTTCCTGGAGCTCCGGCTGTGCACATGAAGAGAACGGCAACCTCAACATCGAAGTTTACCGGAAGCCCACACACACGGACCAGTACCTCCTCTTTGACTCCCATCACCCTCTGGAACACAAACTTGGAGTAATTAGGACCCTACACCACCGGGCAGAACATGTTCCCTCTAAGCCTGAAGGAAAAAAGAAGGAACACACACATGTAAAGGAAGCACGTTGGAGAAACGTGAACATTTTATTTGTACTGCATAACCTGCAGAATCTGCAACTATCCTTTGAAGCACCGCTCCTCTAAAACAGCAATAAGGATCATTATTAGGTTATCTACATGTAACCTAATAACCTATGTAAATAACAAAATAACTTAAAGCAAAAATTGGGAAACATAAAGTCCGAAGTCTTTATATTAAGGGCCATCAGTCAAACAATACAGTTTGCTCTGGGTCTAAACAGAGCGCGTTGTGTGTGACGTCTTCTTTTGCGCATGCGGGCCGCTGTGAGCGTTCACACTAGAGCGCGTTTGCTGTCGCATTTTATTTGTAGTGTGAACAAGCAGACAAAAAAATCGGATTTGATCAAAAAATCGGAATTGAGCATTAAGACCTGCAGTGTGAACGTAGCCAAAGTCGCTAAGTTGGCAACACTGCTCATTTGGGCATGTCCTTTACGTCATGCGCCACGCAATTGCCGACGCCGACCAATGAAATCGTGAGTTGAGGCTGCTGTCACTTGGACTTCCTGGTGTGGTTTGTTTGCCTGCATTGATCATGGCTGCGGAGGGCGATTTTCTGGCGAGATACCGAGCTGTGTCAAATAAACTGAAAAAGTAAGGCTTTGAAATGGCTTTGTTTAAGAAGAAAGACGGACGAATATCGGGAATAGCTAAATGTTATTTAGACTGAATGTGAGGTAACGGCTTTCAGCTAGTGCTAATAGGCTAAGCTAGTGTTACTGTTAGCCATTTGCTCGTTTTGTAGTGAAATATTTGGTCATTTTGAGATATTTAGCCCAGGTTAATCGAAAAATAAGCGATGAGTTGTTGGTGCTGTTTGACAGCTAATTGTAAAGCGCTTCGAGGGCCCCGAAAAGCGCTATATAAATGCAATCCGTCATTATTATTATTATTATTATTATTATTATTATTAACCCATAACTAGCCGGTAGTTTGCCACAGTACTGATATTCTATGTTTATCTAGCTGGCGTGTATCACAGTTGGCTATCTAAGATGTTTTAAAATGTGAAAATACTTTGTTTTCTTTTGTAGGCGTTTTCTTCGGAAGCCCAATGTGGCAGAGGCAAGTGAGCAATTTGGTGAGTGCCACATTAGTCCATCCATGTAAATGTTGTGATCCAGCCTATACTGTCGCACAGAAGAGTCAGCACCTCTCCTGTGCTGTTAAATGATAGAGGCTGAATAAATGTCACCAGGCTTGTCTTTACCTGTGCTTTCAGGTCAGCTGGCAAAGGAGCTGAAGCAGCAGGACTGCCTTCAGTATGCTGCCTTCTGTAACCTGGCCATGGCTCGGTGAGTGGATCCGTATTCATTTTAACTGAATTGTGCCAAAGCACAGCAACAGGCACCTTATGGTGTAAAAGCACCTCGCACAAGTAAAGACCCCACAATAATCTGGAGAAAAACCCCAACAATTAAGCAACCCACCATGAGCAAGCACTTTGCAATGGTGGGAAGCAAAAACTCCCTTCTAACAAGAAAAATGCTCTTGCAGAACCATGTAGAACAGCAGCGTTTGTCCTGCATACATAGAGCAACAGGAATAGCAGCTAGCCAGCCTCAACAGCTAAGGACTGGACAACCAGAGTCCCAACTAGGGAATTTGTGTAACTAGCTGGCTTGTTGCTATTGTCACTAGTTTGCACAGGATGTACTAGTCGTTTAATCTAATTGTTTTGCATTTTAATTGATAACCAATTCTGATAAATTGTTGCATCCTAATGCTATGTAGCTATCTGCCACCAGATGGTGTGTCATTGGTGAGAAATGCTATAAATCTCAGCTTGATCTTTATGTTAACACCATTATTGCTAGTTTTTTGAGCTCGCAGATACAAGTGGTGGAAAAAAAAAGCTTGCTCTGAAAGTAGGATGAGCTTTTCCTTAGCGATAGGGTGAGGAGTTCATCCATTCAGGAGGGATTCAGATAGAGCTGCTGCTCCTCTACATCAACAGGAACCAGCTGAGGCTGTTCCTTCGTTTAGAGAGTTTTTGACATTAAACAATTCCCAAGTTTAACTCTACAGCTTCCTAGTTGTACACTAGTCATTTCTTAGTCGACTAAGAAATTATTAGTCGCCAGGAACATCCCTAGTACCAGCCCTTAACCACTCCATGGCACATATTGTGCCTGACCACTATGGCACCTCCAGCAGGTGGTCATCTCACCAAATCTGGACTTTTGGCATCTGAGTAAACAGAGGCACTGTGATGAGGTCCTCTCGTCTGTACTTGTGCCATTCATGTGGCAGTGCCCATCTAGCAGTTGTTTCAGTTGGATAATGCTGCTCCTCCAGTGCCAGAATAGTGCAGGGCTTTCTAGATCAGTGGTGTATCCTGAGACTTCCTTGGCCAGCATTAACCCTGATATGTTTCCTATCTAACATGCCTGGAACATGCTGAGTCAACAAACAGGGTGCACTGCACAGCTGCAGACTGCACTCACCCAGGAATGGAGAGCAGTTCCTCAATAACATAATATATCCAGACACTTGTGCAGTCCATGCAGAAACCGGTAAAAATGCATAGATTTCAAATACCGTAACACAGACTTATTGCCTTAACACAGACACACACTTTTGCTTTTCTAGTCTAGCTGAGCACTCAAAGTGCTTTACACAACTTCCCTCATTCACCCACACAAGCACTTTTATTCTATCCTCTTTCTTTAAGCGCTTTCTGCCTAACATTTACACACATTCATATTCTGATGGGTGAGACTCTTGGGTTGGTATCTTGCACAAGGATATTTGGCATGCAGATTGGAGCAGCCAGGGATCGAACCACCAACCCTTCTGATTAGCAGATGACCTGCTCTGCCTCGTGAGCTGAGCCACTCCACTCAGTAACGAGGCGCTTGATTTCACTGATGTCCTTGTAGAAGACTGAGTAAATCCTTCATGCTTGTTTCCAAAATTTCTGGGATCTCTGCCAGGAAACTGCAGAAACTTGCTCATCATCATTATTTTGGGGTGAAATGCTCAAGGATCACACGCAGGTTTATTGATCAAATATTCACACGCTTGTCCTACATTCAGGTCATAAAAGATTCAAGTGTAGAACCAAGCATAAAAGACTTTAAGAGGGGGCTGACTTGAAGCTTGAAAATAATTCTGTTACTCATTGTGGTTTCACCACATAATGCTGCCGTGTAATAAGTCAATTTTAGTTATTTTTCCTACATCCGCTATCGTTTTTTTCAGAAACAAATCATGAAATTTTTGACAAAAGTATAAGTAACATGTCCTCATGAGGACAATTAGATAAAAAAAAAAATCACACTTTTGTTATTATAATTATGTCATAATTATCTTATTTAGCTTTCAAATGGCACGCATGTTTGTTATCAGTTTTTTAAGGTCTATAAATCTAATATTATATTTTTAGCTTAAAATATTTAGAGCAGATCACTACTTTTCTTGTTTAAAAAAACAAAGAAACAGCATGTGAGGTTGTTACATAAAGGTACAGTCGGTGGAGTGATGAGTCCTCAGTGGTCAGCAGTAGTCTTAATTGGCCCACAGGGAGAGCGTAGCATTCATAGTCATGACAGTGACCTATCGGCTGTTGTTATACATCCTCGATGTCTTGACTGCAGGTGTGAGCAGACTCTCTTTAATGCTCCTGGAGAGGCACTGGCATTAACTGACGCTGCTCGCCTCTTCCTCTCATCTGAGAAGGAGAACAGGGCACTGCAGGCTCCAGGCTTTGATGAACACCTCCAGGCTGCACTCAACTGCTACAGCTTCGCCACTAAGGTATGATCAGCTCTAGTTTTCAAATAGATTTTTAGAGTTTGATGCAGTAAATGCACTCCAGAAGAAATCAGCAAATAAAGCAGATTCACCATGGAATATTTCATTAGATCAGGGTCTGGAGAAAAGATTGTGGAGTACATTCTTGTATAGTGACTGAATTCTGATGTACAAATGAATCGCAGGTGTATATTGAGATGAACCAGCCTGTGATGGCAGCCAGCCTGTGTTTGGAACTTGGCAACGCGCTCAAGGTAAAGCTGCTGTCTCTGAGGATAAATGACCCAGAATTGTTTTTTTTGGGGGATTTTTTATTTTTTTATTTTTTTTAAGCAAATGATGGAAAAAATGATTCATCGTTACTCTCCTGTCTTCCTCAATAGGAGATTAACAGACCAGGAGAGGCTATTGTTCATTATCAGAGGGCTGCAGAGTTACAGACGCAAACACCCATCGAAGCTTTGCTGTCGATGGGAGAAATGGCCACGTGTAAAATCCTCACCCGTGAGTTCTGTCGGTTCTGATTGAGTAGCTGCAGTTTGTTTGCTGTGCAAACAGGATCTGACGGGACTTTTGTTTGAGTTTGTGTTACTTGTGTTTTTATGATTTTCTTTTTTCTTTTCCAGGTGATTATGACGGTGCTTTGTCAGTGTTCACAGAGATGCAGCTGATCTGTCAGGAGAAAGGACTGCAGCTACCAGGCTCCATCACCCCTGTTGGTGAGCATCTGATAAAAAAAATGATATTAGCAGAGTTTTGTAAAGATGGGGTGTTATTACAGCCTTAGCAGTTTGTGTTTTCTTAACTAAAGCTGTATCCAGCATCTTAAATTGATTAACACAATTCAACTTGAAAACTGGGATAATTAAGAGCTGCATTCCCTCGTGATTGTCTTTTTTTTCCGCTGCTGTGCAGATTTTTCATGTTATTTGCACTAAGAGGAAAAAATGTCTTAATTTCTCATCTTTAATTTTACTTTCTTGACAACAAAGGTGCCTTTTTGGACATTGTGGCAAAATGTGAGATATCCAGGGTGCTTCTGCTCATGTTGCTTGAGGTAAGCTCATCGGTTTTGCTGATAATTAAAACAACCTCTCTCACTGCAGAGTTGAGTGCAAAGTCATGTTCAGTGTTGTGTTTTTGAAGGTATGATTCAGGCCATTTGTTTAAATTTATCTAAATATGCACTTTAACAAGTTTTTATTTATAGGTAGTTGCAATAAATACCTTTAAATTCACTCTTCAAACATACTATATTGCCAAAAGTATTCGTGCAGCTGCCTTCTCACTCATATGAATTTGAGTGATGTCCCATTCTTAATCCATAGTGTTTAATATAATGTCGACCCACCCTTTGTAGCTATAACAGCTTCAACCTTTCTGGGAATTCATTCCACAAGGTTTAGGAGTTTGTTTAAGGGAATTTTTGACCAGTCTTCCAGAAGCACATTTGTGAGGTCAGTCACGGATGTTGGGTGAAAAGGCCCGGCTCGCAGTCTCCACTCTAATTCATCCAAAAGGTTTTCTGTCAGGTTGAGGTCAGGACTCTGTGCAGGCCAGTTAAATTCTTCCACACCAAATTTGCTCATCCTTGTCTTTATGGACCTTGCTTTCTGCACTCGTGTGCAGTCTTTTTGAAACAGGAAGGTACCATTGACAGACTATTTCTACAAAGTTGGGAATTTGAAATTGTCTGAAATATCTTGTTATGCTGAAGCATTAAGTTTCTTTCACTGGAACTGAGGGGCTGAGTCCGAGGGGCAACATGAGGTTCGAAGGTCTGTAGCAGTCGACTCTGCAGAAAGTTGGAGAACTCTTTGCATTGTGCGTCTCAACATCCACTGACCCCACTCTGTGATTTTATGTGCTCTGCCACTTCATGACTGAGTTGCTGTCATTCCCAATCACTTCCACGTCATTATAACACCACTAACAGCTGACTGTGGAATATTTAGTAGTGAGGAAATTTCACAACTGGACTTGTTGCACAGGTGGCATCCTATCACAGTACACAGTTGGAAATATAGTGTACTTTAAATGCACTGCAAGGAGAGAGGAGGCACAGAGTGAGAAAAAGCTGGTCCTAATGTATCCTGACACAAGTACTGCACCTCCACATGCGACACACAGTTTGACGTGACGTGAGACTCGAGCTATTAATGCAAGCATTTCTCATTTGGCAGCTTTGGACCCTCCGGTTTCACGTCTCTTCACTGTCTCTCACACTTAATTCTCGCAGCGAGGAGCTGAGACTCGAGTGAGAGAGCTGAGGAGACACATTAGCATAATGAAAGCACCTGTTGTGTGCATTGCATAGAGTTTCATTTCTTTATTTTAACCACATAGATTCAGCAGCTTAAACACTCGCCTGTACTTGAGTGTCAAACAGCCTTCCGCTGGCCAATCAGTGAACTGTTAGAAAGCAGAATAGTTTTTTAAAGCTGTTTTAAACAATGCAATTACACTTAATGACAATGTTAATTATTTATCCAGCATCTTACAGTAATTACTGTGCATCTTGAAAAATTCAGGATTGTTGGTGCAGCAGAACTTAAATGGTCCCACGTTGTTGTGGTTTTGTTTGGGTTTTTTTGGTGCAGCCTCCACCTCAGAAGTTGTTACCAGAACACGCCCAGACCCTGGAGAGATACGCGTGGGAGTCCTTTGATCCTCACAGCCAATGTAAATTCACCTCAGCACTCGACTGCTTGAGTATAATAATGTGTCATTAATCCTGCGCACTTATTGAAGTTGCGTAAATGTTGTTTTTTGTCTTCTGTTTCAGTGACCTTCCTGCCTGAGAATGTTTTCCTGCTCCTGCAGTCCGTAGTGGTGAGTTTCATGATAACACGGTCTGAGTCTTCCTGTCTCATACAGGAAAAATAATGGTCTTCACGCCCTTCATATGACAGTGATGTATTGTGTGTGTTGAATTTTTTTTTTTTTTGTTTTTTTCCTTTGGCAGTGAAGTGATTCTTTTTTTGTTTGTTTGTTTTTGCTTCAGCATTTGCAGTTTGCCAGCTTTGTGTAGGTTTTCTGCCTCAGAATTTTTCCCTCTTACACTAAAGATATTCATTTTTTTCCCCAGTCACAGTAAAAAGAAGCAACACATGACACATTACATCATGTCGGTATTTTTACAGAGAAGCCAAAATATAGAAGCACTGTGTGAAAAACACCTTTAGTTCTTCTGTAGGTATTAAGAGAGTAAGAAGCAACCAGGTGCTGCTAATCAAATGCACAGACGTTTTGGCAGTTTGTTGGCCTGCAGCATTCATAATCACAGTGCCAATGTGGAAGACCTCAGCAATGATGTGAGAGAAGCAGCTGTCGCTGCCCTTCAATCTAGGCAGGGTTACAAAGCTGATTCCAAACAATTTGAGGTCCATCATTCTGCAGTGAGACAGTCACAAGTGGAAAACATTCAAGATAGCTGTCAGTCTTCCCAGGAGTGGACGTCCCAGCAAATTAATCCCAAGATTAGATTATCCAGTGGTCAGAGAAACCGCAAAGAACCCAAGAGCTGCATTTCATAGGCTCAGTTAGCAGGTTACATGTTAAATTGCATGACCATACAGTTAAAGCATACGATAAAGCCTCTGCTTTCAGAATATGGAAGCATGACTTGGGTTTGCAAAGTTGCATCTGAACAAACTACAATACTTCTGGAACAGTGTCCTTTGGACCCCAAGCACAGCAGCAAATCTCAAACAGAGAATGGCTGAAAAAGAAAAGAAACAAGGCCCAAAGTTTAGACCACAAACTTAAGAGAGCTGTGCATAAACAAAGGACACACACCTCACCACTAAGGTTGTTCTACAATTTACTGAATCTTGAGTTGATGTTTTTCACACACTGCTTCTGTTTTTTTGGGTTGTTTTTTTTTAGCTGTTTTGTTAAATAATGATGAAATGTCTCAGGATGTCTTTACCTAATTTTAAGACCTACTATGGACCAAATAATATTTTTATTGCGTCCTGATATGTGACACATAAGAATTGACAGAGGCCATCCTTTTTTTTTTTTTTTTTTTTAATAACTGTATAAATAAAAAAAGTTAATAAAAAATAATCATGTGTAATGTAGAGAAAGATTCTTCTCGAAGGAGCACGCTCTGTCTTTGGGAATGAATGGCCAGTAACAGAGAATAAATATTAACAAGTCAGAGGCCTCGTCAGGGTCCTCTGAATCTGCAGTTATGTTTTTATTAGTGCAGTGAATAACAACAGATCTGTTTTGCAGATGGCGTGTCAGGAGAAAGACACAGAGTCTCTAAAGTCTCTTCAGACTGAGCTATGGTAAGCATTTACAAATGTTAATTTCCATCATGTGAGAAAATATCTTTTACTGCTTGTCATTCTTAATTTTCCATATTGATCACATGCTTTATGCGGTTTTCCCCTTGCAGGCCGTTTCTGACAGCTGAGCAGAACCATCTTCTCCACCTGGTGGTTCAGGAGCGCATCACGCCGTCTGGTCAAGGCATTTAATACAGTCCAGTTTTTATTCGCTTCCTCTGGGAACGATACTTTATATAATGGAACATTCCTGTTTCTGAATGGGTCTGTTGTAAGGCCCGGAGAAGGGTTGTTTTCAAACTCCAGTGTTGTAACTTGGACTCAGAGAAATATTAAACGTTGTGCTTATTCAGTCACGTAGGTTTGGAAATCAAGCTGAACTGTCTTTGTTGTCCTCAGACGTGCAGATTGCTGTTGCCAGGAATGCTTAGCTAAGAATAAATGTTGTGTATGTATCTGAGTGGAGACTATAAAACTGGACCACGTCATATGTTTTTATTATGTAAAAGTTTCAAATGTAGAAGAACTTATTGTGTTTACAGCTGGTTAGTAGATTAAACACGAATGCTTTGTTTTATCATTTTTATTAATAAATGACATAACATGGCTTAAATTCCAATATAACAAAATCTTCTACTGCATAGTTCTGTAATATGGTGCAATGACACCTCTGTCCTCCATCCCTGGGTCACTTAATTTTCACTTGTACAAATGCATGTACTTTTCTTATGATAGCAGCCCCCTACAGACACATAAGTAAACACAATAATAAAAAAAACAGAAAGGAGCTTAAAAATATATGATGGTTACAATGTACATAGACTGATGTATAATGTATTTGTTTTTTTTTTTCTAGCTGTAAAATAACGATTAACATGATTAAAGCTAGTCGTAAATGAAGGATTGTTATTTCCTGATTGTTCAAGTACTACAACAGGAATGTTATTTGTCGTTTTTTACTCCTCAGTTAGAATTTTAACATATTAAATGATAAGATTTAGTCTCCATCAACCTTTCTGAACCTTAAAGGAACTGGTAAACATTTTGGGACTAAATTATTTACTATCTTGCTGAGTAGGAGATTAATACTAATTGTTTGGCTTTGTACACTAAAGAGGACCAAGGTTTAAAAAAAAACAAAACAAAGACCGTGACCATGTAAAGAGAGTTTCCTGAGCAGTTTTCTCTTCCCATCGTCTTCTACGCAACCACGCTGCACAGATTTGCCCCCTGCTGGTCGTTAGGAAGAATGCAGCTCGGAAGTTGTGACCATCTTTTATGCACAGTCTTAGCAGAAGAACTGAAAATGTGAAAACACTGGCTTCAAACCGCCGTCACCTCTGAAGTTAGAGTCTCCCCTTTTTGTACCCAGCCAAAAATGCTCATGTACAGCTCAGTGACTGTTTCACTAAAGCTAAGGTGACCAAAAGTTCACTCAAATCAATCTTGCCATTTTTTTTTTTTAGCACAAAACAACAAACAAAACAACCCAAAGCGATTATAAGCCTTTCTCAAAATGTCACACTATTCCTTTAAAGTACTTATGTCTGAACTACTACTACTATTTAAGACTAAACTGATTTATTAGCTATGTTCTGGTAATATTCCCAATAATTCAGCTCTATGAGGCGTTTTAGTCACATTATTAAAAAGAAAAAACATTATTTTGTTTGTCAGTTTTGCTGAAAAAATGTGTTTCACACTTGTAATGTTAGCATTTGCTCCATATCATTTTATATATATATATATATATATTTTAAAAAGCTGTATAAACAAATGGCTCTCATTAGCATTTGGACATTTTGCTACAGTCGTAGCTTCAGATGGTGTTCATCAATTCTAAAAGAGGAGAACGAGCCCTGCCCTCTGTTTTTCCTCTCACTCTTTCTTCTTACGCAGGATGAAATAGGTGAGCGCTAAGATGAAGGTGAGGACAAACGAGATCCACGCCAGGATGTAGCAGTGTCCGTAACCTCCAGATGTGTCATTGACGTGGAGCTTGGCTGTGTAGATTGAGGCTCCTGTCATTATGCAAAGGCCTGCAAGAGGGAAAATTATTATTACATGCAACCAAGACAAGGCAATCAAGAAGTAATTATTTTTCTATTATAAGATAAAGCTCGTGATGTGACCAGTGCAATCACAAGAAAATGAAAGACATGACACTTCCACCTTGTTAATTTTCCAGTGTTATGAACTCATGACATTCGCACTTTGTGTGAGTTTCTCATGTGCTCGTAGTACTATCACTGATAATGCATAATTAACTTAAAGCATGAAATTTTAATCACTCGGGACCTTTTTTTTCCCTTTTACATCTGACATGGTGGCACAAAAATGACTCGGTTTGTGGTCTTTTTGTTAGGGAGGATTTGCATGAAAATGTTTCTTATCTAAAATAAAAAGCAGCCAATGTCCAATGAAACTTTAAAGAACCTCCAGGAAGCCTGGAGAACTATCGCTTACTTTAAGAAGAAAGCCTGGCTCCTTGGAAGCAAAGCATAGACATGACAGGTGGCTCAGACTTTTGTGAGTGAATACATTTTCTAGATTTTGCTTCTCAAACGTGAAAACATGATGCTTTGTTGCACATTGACGGCAAACAAAAATGTTTGGGGGTGTTGTTGAGAAATCAGCACACCTGAGAATGCTGGAGCAGGTGTGCTGGACAACTTTTTTTTCTAGTGAACCTCATGACATTAACAGAAGCAGCACACTGTTAAATGTGATACTGTTAACTATTTGAAGTGTCAAAATCATTCATTTGTGACACCTAAAAGACTAACGCACTGCTGTGCTGTGGCTGAGATCAGCTTCTACTGATTTTCTACAGATTTCATGTGTCTGAGATGCAAACACGCTCACCTTGCTGATCCATCACAGTTCACTGGTTATTGCAATGTGTGAGGTACACACAGAAAGTGAAGAACTTCTAATCACTGGTTCGCTGTTTTGTACAAACTAATGAGAATTCAAATCCACTGAGTAGTCAAGGGTCTCTCAAACAGTCATATCGAGGGCAGATTCATCTTGTTCAGCACCAAATGAAAGTGTTTGAACTCAGGACTACTGATGATTACACGACAGGGCTGCAGCTACCCATTATTTTAGTAATCTATCTGTCTATTATTATTAATGAGAAAAAACAAATATTCAAAAGAGAAAAATGAACTGTTCATTGATTTTCAGTTTAGAAACTGCAAGAAAATAGCAAGTTTACCTGCAAACATCTCTTAATAAAAACAAACAAAAATAGACCCTTTCCTTGTTTTTACTCGCCATATTAAAATGATATTTTTAAAAGACAACACTTTCTTAATTGCAAAAACAAATAATAACAAGTACAGTAATCTCAAATACATACAAGCTAAACTAGCGCATGAAAATGAAACGGCTTTTACTCTCTCTTCTCAGAAGTCTTTCTTACATTAAGAGCAGGCCAAAAGAGTTCTGGTGGTATTAATATCTCCTTAATGAGGTAGATTTGGTGTGTGTGTGAGTGTCTGCATGCTTAGATGTGGTAGTGAATGCGCAAATATGCCTTTAAGTATTTACGCAAGTATGTGGCGGCTGCTATGAGGAAAAGCAGGCTAATCACCATTTTCAGAACTGAAGCTTTGCCCTGCGCTTCGATGCAACGTTTCGTGCTGCAGAAGACAAACATTACAATGGTGTGGATGTCAATAATGTTAATGTTAATAATAACAATTTAGTATCCAACCTCCAGCCTCAGGTCAGTGTCTCGGAATCTGACTGGCCCACTTAAAATAAATGATATAATTTAATTGACTTATTTATATTTTATATTATGAGATAAATCTTGTTTTTTGCAGATTACATTGATCTAAATCTGCATAATAGTGTTGAAATTAAATGATGTGCACACATCAGGATGTCACTGCTCTGACAGTATTACTCATGTTATCAACACTGGTAACAGGAAAGCCCTGACCACACCTTCCTAATTTGGGTGTCAACCAGTCAGACCACTTCATCCACATCCATGTAGTGAGAAGCCATTATATGACCTTTGTGTGTAAGTCGATTAAACTCTGCCCAGTACTGAAAGAGGAGTGGTGATTGTTGTGAACTGACACAGATAGATAGATGCCTCGCCATGCAATGAGCTCATTGGTCTGTTGAATGGATGAGGCTAAAAATTAGTTTAATTATTTACCAACATCCTTTATGAAGCTTTAAGTTCGAGCGTCATGCTAACTTATTTAGTTAGACAAAAATCACATATGTCAGGTTTGTCAGTCGCACATCCTCCAGAGAAAATCATAAAGTCAGCCAAAAGAAACAAGACTGCAGGTAACTTACAGGCGATTATCTGTAAAATGCCAGTGAAGGTGAACCTCATTCCTTTGGGCAGGGTGAACAGCTGGGCCACAAATACAAACAAGGCAAGGATGGTGAAAACGCAGGCCAGCACTGAAGTGGCCTGCACCGCCTGGAGATAATCTGCAGCAACAAGATAATAAAAAAGTCAACAATAACACAGGCGTGAGGAAATATTCGGCCTTTTCAGTTTTATGTTTGTATTAACACCACTACCTACAGATCTACTCATTTCAGACTGACAATATTTACTGTAAACAGTGTAATACGTGATTTGTTCGTTCATCATCTTTGCCCTTCATTATATAAATAATGGAAAAATCACTAACTTTAACAGGGGGACAATCTGTGGAGTTTACCTTCTGGGTAGCCTTTCAGATTTGTGTAATGCCACACATTGTTTGATAAGTCCCACCTGCCCCACAGGTCAGCTGACACTAAATCGTCGACCCACCAGGCCTGACGACACAAAGGAAAGATTTAAAGTTCATGCAGATATGTTACACATTTTCTAGAAACCGCTGTCAGATCTCCTCCAGTTAATACAGAAAATAACATCATCTTACATTGTCAATGGCGGCCACCAGGAGCAGGATGATGGTGGTTATGTGCAGAACAACGATTGCTGCCAGCATCAACATTATGGCCTTCTGAAAACTGATAATGGGGTGGGGGAAGTGGAAGGAGGCACACCGTTATTTATTTTGCAAGCGCAGACGTATGTAACACGGACTCGTACATGAGGGAGTATTAATTACACACACACACACACACACACACACACACACACACACACACACACACACAGGGAAACTGTGTGAAACAAAGAAATAAAGAAATAACAGTAACAGAGAAGAGAGCCGTTTTATACAAGCCTAGACTTGCCGCAGAAATCATGCAGCCATAAAATTTTTGAATAAAACACAAACACATCTGGTGTCAAACACATCAGTGCTTTCAATCTTTGTCATTACGTTTATTTATTATTTATTATATTTAATCAGCTCAGATTCATTAGCACCAATCGCTGCGCCTGTAAAAGCCCGCAGTTTGCTTTGAGCCTCTTTTTTTTACGTCTTTTGAGCGTTTCCGTCGACAATAAAGGCGCATTTGTTAAGACGGCATTCCCAAACGGATGACACACACAGGGCCCGCACTGTAGTCGATAACTTTAAAAAGAGCGCGATAGTACGACAACAGAAAACAATAATAAGCACAGCATAAACTCACGGACTATTCAACGCTATGTTAGTGAGCCAAATTTCCAGTTGCGCGTCTTTTTAGGACTTTTTTGAGCTCACGGTCAGTCATATTTCTTGCGCTTAAAGTAACTGAAGTTTTTCCTACAGGCTTTAAAAAAACCCACTTCAGCCATCCGTAAGAGGGTTTCACAGAGTGTGCTCCGTAAACCGTCGCCTTTCTACAAGTAAGCAAAGAGCAGAAACGTTACCTGAACGCTCTTTAACGCACCGCGCGGGAGTTATTTGGGAATGTGAAACTCTGTGGACCCA